GACTTCATTCTGGACTCTGAAAATGAATGTATCTTACTCCCAGTCGTTGGGGATAATGAAACATTGCAGTTCATATTTGACAAAACTGCTAATTTAGGACTGAACCAAATTAACCACATCAAAAACCAACAAAATTGCTATTTGGACTTTTTACTAACGAATATTTATGAAGATTTCTGTGTGACCGAATCATTAAATCCACTGTGGAAAAATGAAGCGTTTCACACAGCAATCGAATATTCTTTATTTATGCATGAAAACCAAAGACCCAACGACTGCGAATACGAAGAAGTCTTTGAATACAAATTAGCAGACTACGAAAAAATAAAATTTAAATTAAACAGTGTCAATTGGCAATTAATTTTAAGGAATGTAGGAAATGTCGAAATTGGTATGGACGTGTTCTATAAAATTTTAACAGAAATAATTTCGGAAGAAATACCTTTGAAGAAAAAAAGACGTAACAGAAACACACAAAATCCAGTCTGGTTTAACAGACAAATAAAAAACTTGAAAAATCGGAAGCAAAAAGCACATAAAATTTATAAAAAACACAATAGTAGTAATAATTTATTAATTTATTTGGATCTATGCGATCAACTGAATTTAGCTATCAGTACTGCATTTGAAGAATATAATGCAAAAACTGAACGTGAAATAAAGTCCTGTCCGAAGAACTTCTTTAATTACGTAAAAACAAAATTAAAATCTGACAATTTTCCTTCAATAATGCATCTAGACGAAAATGTCGGTGATAGTTCGGAAAAAAACTGTAATCTATTCGCAAAATTTTTTCAAGAAATTTATACGACATTTTCTGAAGAAGATCGTGACCGCGATTATTTTGCATTTTATCCAGAATTTTCAAGGGACATTGGCCTCAATCAACTTCAAGTGCAGGACATTTTGCAGGCTTTAAAAAATTTAGATGCCTCAAAAGGTCCTGGACCTGACGGAATTCCTCCAGTATTTATTAAATGTCTAGCAATGGAACTCACTGCTCCATTGTTTTGGCTTTTTAATATGTCCCTGGAATCCGGAACCTTCCCTAAAATTTGGAAAACCTCATTTCTAGTACCTATCTTTAAATCTGGTCGAAAATCTGACGTACGTAATTATCGTGGAATAGCCATTATCTCTTGCATTCCTAAGCTTTTCGAGTCAATTATCAACGAAAAATTATTTCTCCAAATCAAAAATAGAATTACTGACATGCAACACGGCTTTTTCAAGGGTCGTTCGACCTCGACCAACTTACTTGAATTTATAGACTATTCATTGAATGCAATGGATAATGGAAACCACGTAGAAGCTCTCTATACAGACTTTAGCAAGGCATTTGACCGCATTGACATACCAATGTTACTCTTTAAACTGCAAAAAATTGGAATTAAGTCAGGGCTCCTGAAATGGCTTGAATCATATTTAACTAACCGCCAACAAATAATTAAATTCAACGGAAAGAAATCGAGCCCAATTCAAGTCACTTCAGGCGTCCCCCAAGGCTCTCATTTGGGACCTCTCCTTTTTATTCTATACGTAAACGACATATCTTACATTCTCAAAAAACTTAAATTGCTTATTTATGCCGACGACATGAAGCTCTTTTTGGAAATAAGAAATGAAGAAGACATCAATATATTCCGGAATGAAATACACATATTCTACATATGGTGCAAAAAAAGTCTACTAGAATTGAATGTAAAAAAATGTAACTTAATATCATTTAGTAGAAAAAGAACAACTTCAAATATTTCAATTGCATTAGGAAATCAAACTGTAGACAAATGTGAAAGAGTTAGGGACTTAGGAATTATCTTAGACTCTAAGCTAACTTTCATAGACCATTACAATACAATTATTCACAGGGCAAATAACATGCTAGGCTTTATCAAGCGCTTTTGCTATAACTTTCAGGACCCTTACACAATTAAAACACTATATATTGCCTATGTGAGGTCAATACTGGAATATTGCAGCATTGTATGGTCTCCATTTTCAATCACGCACGAAGAAAGATTAGAATCAGTACAAAAACAATTTCTATTATACGCTCTTCGTAAATTAGGTTGGACTTCATTTCCTCTTCCATCATATGAAGCACGCTGCATGCTTATAAACATACAAACATTAAAAGAGCGCCGTGAATATGCAATGGTTTCATTTGTAAATGATATCGTTTCGCAGCGAATTGACTCAACAGAACTTTTATCAAAATTAAACTTCCATGCACCCACTCGGCAACTCCGAAATCGAAATTTATTTGCCATAAAACATCATCGCACAAATTATGCAAAATATGGGCCATTAAACCGCATGATGGCCTCTTACAATAAACACTGCGAAACCATTGACTTTACAATGTCTCGGCATAAACTAAAGCAATATTTTTATTCCATAAGAAATAACAACTCATAAAAGAAAAGACAAGAAAGCTGACACTACTTTTTTATATAAATATATATTTAAGAAAACAAAACTGTATTAATTAATTGTACTAGTCTACGTTGGTTGACGAAATAAATAAATAAATAGCTATGTCTGTCTCGTAGCGGAGATGCTTTTTCTGTTTCTCTATTTTTGGTTCCGTATTCCGTTCGTCCTACCTACACTTATTTGTTATGATTAGACTAGAGTCGGTGTATAATCAGTCACGCCAAGAGAAAAACAGTTGAACTCGCATCACGGTTTTCGAAGTATTCCCTTTCTTTTCACTTGGCAACAGAGGACTTCTACATCAACTTCAAATGACTTCTAGCGAGAACAAAAAATAGCGGCTGTAGTGAAACAATATATCAGTGATTTTGTCAAATTATCTTATCAAAAAAATAAAGTAGAAATTCTCATTACTGATCATAACCAAACGTATCCCATGCCAATTTAATGCTCACTACGTTTTTATGATCATTTCTTCAATTATATTTTATATTTTATAGTAATACCACAGACAAACAGACATAACACATTGAATATTTCTCATTGTAAAACATCGTCACTAAAACATTACCGCCATCTGTTGAATACACTGTGGTGGGTAGTACGCTGAACAGATGGCGGTAGTGTGTAAACGTCAAACGCAAGGGAATTGACTATGCGTGCCACATGTGGCAGTAATACCAACTGAGATACTTTTAAATTGACCGTTAAATGCTTGTGCGATGAACAATTTGTGAGTGTTATGTCTGTTTGTCTGTGGTAATACCTTTCGTGGACCTTTCATAGCATCGTAATGTTTGTTTACTTTGCACGATAGGTAACCGATTTGACAGTTCAATAGGTAAACTTGGCTTCACTCTTGGCGTGACTCATTATACACCGACTCTTAGACTACCCTAATAAAAAATAACCATAAACGAACGATAAACCAAATCATTGAACTATTCCACAAATGGTTTGGATGATACCCAGAACACGTCGTTAAGCAAATTAACCATACAATTTTTATTAGGGTATCCAATTGATGAGATGGCTCGGTTCGAAAGTCCAAAATTGCGCGTGATTTGTTTTCATCCTTCCTTCGCTAACAAAGATTTTATGTTTCAGGAAGTCTTCATAAGACGACCTACCGATAACTACCGATAAAAGTTTTGAGAAGCTACCGATAATGAAAAAAATAATCTGGCCACCCTGTCCGTCAATCGTGTCTCTAATGGCAGTAAGCTCCAACCGGTATTATCCTCGGATTAAATACCGATCAAGAATGCCGGGCTGCTTTGATGTCGACATCAGAGTTAATTAATACAACTCTAAGCACACAGTTTGGAGATCATCCAAACAGGGACGGTATTAAAAAGTTAATCCGAGTAGGAGCATACCGCCATAAATCTTTTGTCAGCTCGGCTCCTCGCATTTCGCACTTGCTATAAAAAAATGATTTTCGGAATTTTTAATTCATTAGATGTTGTGCTGATACAAGAAGATGTTCTAAAGTATATGTTTGACACACGAAACCTGTCAATTTTGCTTTCAGAGAGTCACAATCAGCGGTTTTATGATTCGTGAGCGTTTACTCAGGGTGAGCTCTCTAGGTCTGCAAAATGCAACACTGAATTCTTCCTGGCAAAAGCTAATTCTTACGATTCATCTCTATTCTTGTTTTCGTTCGAATCGGATATGCCATACAAACAAGAAATTGTATGGCGTATCCGATTCGAGCGAAAACAAGAATAGAGGCGAATGTTTACGAATTAAACGACAGCGAAGGACGGAAACCTTTGAGCACTTTCCCAGTGTGTTCCCCCTTATTCTGCGAGTCACGTGACTCTCTGTCACCGGTGAGGTGACAATTGTCACCTCACCGGTGAGAGAGAGTCACGTGACTCGCAGAATAGGGGGGTTAATTAAGAGCAGGTTTGCGGCCATTCGTTTACTATAAAACAGTTTTTCGAAATTATGAAATCATTAGATGTTATGATGATATTTTGCCCTTGCAAGTTATAAGAAGGGATCTTAAGGTATTTGGCCTATTCTGCGCGGCGTGTGAGGTGAGGTGACACGCTGTCACTTGTGAAGTGACAAATGTCAACTCGGGTGAGGTGACTCTCCATGCAAATCAAATGGAGAGTCACCTCACCCGAGGTGACAATTGTCACTTCACCATCACTTCACTGTCACCTCACCTCACACGCCGCGCAGAATAGGCCCATATGTGTTTGACACATGAAACCTGTTGATTTCGCTTACTCTCTAGATGCAAAATTGACAGGTTTTATGTGTCAAATTCATACAATAAGATACCAACCTCCTCTTGTGATTTATAAGTACATAACATCATCAAAACATCTAATGATTTCATAACTCTGCAAAACGTGATTTTATAGCAAACGAATGGGGCTTGCATAATAAGAGAAATTAGAGAAAGAAATAGCACACGAATGGCTTGCAGAATCGAAATTTGTAGAGAAAGAACAAGATATTCGAATAGAACGAACAGCCTAACCAGTAGCAAGAATTTTTCGATACAAGAAATAGAGTAGCTAAAGAACAGCACAGATGTAGGATTGAAAAAGGCCCCAGACAGAACCGTGGGGCAGCGGAATACAGATCGATTCACGTTTATTCAAAGTTCACATTTCACATTTTGCCTTAATCTTAGCAGAGTTCTCACTGTTTAATATAGAATTTGTTTTGATTTGTTTTAAAGTTTAATTTTCTTACGAATAGTGGTTTATTAGGAGAATAAGAAACGGGTATAAGGAGAAACTTGGTTTGCTTTGCTCAGTAGTAGTAGGTAGTAGGTAACATTTTATCTTGAAAGAGGATCTCGAATTAAAGCTTGATTGAATTTAGTAGGGGTTTTTGTTTTGTTTGCCTTACGAATTATGGGGTTCAAAATGTTTGGTTTAAGATTAAAAATCACACATGGCTTAAGAGGATTTTGAATATAGTTATTAAAAATTCGGAACAAATGGGACCGGTCCCTGACTTGTCCATTCCGCAGCGCTGTTTCTGTGTCCAGCTCATTCATGCACGCGCGCTCCACTTACACCTATACTTTGTTTGCTTGCCTAATTGGTTTCAAGTTCAAGTTGTCGTACGGAAAAAAAGAGTTTAAGGGAAGGATATTGATTTAACTATCATTTGATCTATGGCATTTTGTTTGTTTTATACACATCTAAACTAGGTTTTTCTCGCCCTTACTGCTGCTTGATCCACAAATGTTTCCACGCACTGAGGGATGCCCTCTGGTGCATTTTTGAGTGAGTGAGTGTATGTGTGTACTGTACATTTCAAAGAGAAGAGAACCATTTAGTTGCGTTTGCTTCCACTGACTGTGTTTCTGCCTAGTAGGATTGGATTGATTACAAGTTTTTTTGCGTTAATTTCTAGCCTTTGTGTTGTGTTTGGAGTGCATGTATGCTTTGCTTAGTTTTAAAGCAGATAGTCTGCCGCTTCCACCGCGGATTGGCTGAGATGGTGATGATCCCCGGAACTGTTCCTATCGCTATCATGGTGGTGATGGTGGTGGTGGTGATGGTGCTCATGGTCATGATGATGGTGATGATGCGTTGAGGTAGTTCTTTCTCGTAGGCAACAATCAATTGCTTGGCATTGTTGTTGTTGATGATGATGGTGATGGTGGTGGTGTGGATGGTGCGGATGTTGTTGCTGTTGCTGATGCTGGTGCGCTGCAGCAGATGTCTGAAGACCGTCACAGCAACCAGCAGGAGGGGGTGACGCCGGGGAAGCAGGAACAACGCAAACCGAGCGCTTTCGCTTCTGCTGAGCCGACTCGAGGTTGAGCGTTTTGTCGATGGCTCGCAGCCGCTTCTCCAGACTAGTGGTGGACAGAATTCCGACCTAAAGTAAGGAAGAATAGTTAATTAATTAACTTGCTGAAATTATGGGATCAAACGCTAATACCAACCTTTAAATGCTGACTCAACGGCAGGATCGCTATGATCCACCACGCCCACGCCGGTCCATCCACCACGTCTTCCCACTTTTCCTCCAGATCCGGCATTTTACCGAAGCTCTTGAAGATCTCACACTTGATGTTGTCCGGAAGGCTCTCGTGCCATCCAATGGCCTTCAGCAGGACCTTCTCATGCAGCTCCCGGATTAAATGCACCTTCTCCTCGTCGACGCCAGCGCCGGCGCCATTGGCACCATCGATGATCTTGTCATCTTCGATGAACTCCACATTAGCCGTATCGTAGCCATCCTGCTCGTGGCGAGCCATCACTCGAAACCGTCGCCCTCCCACGGTTGACAGGATTGAACATCCATCACCCAGCTGGACGCAGTCCCGGATGTCTAGCATCGTTCCATACTCAACGTATCGCTGTCGGCCGATCTGCTGCGGCAGAGCAATGCCAAACTGACGCTCTCCGCTTTCGATCGCCCTCCGGACCATCAGCCGGTACCGAGGTTCATACACGAACAACGGACATGGCACCGAGGGAAATGCAGTCGTACAGATGAACACCGGAACCGTCGGTTCCCGGTCTAGCTCCTGCCGGCGTCGCTTCTCGTACGCATCCGGAATGAACCGCTGCATGGCCACCTCGACAAATTGGGTCACCTTACGCTTAGACAATGAGATCAGTGTAGGATTGGCAGCCAGCAGGGTGTGGTTACTCCCGCTGTTGCTATTGTTGCTGTTGGCCAGATGGTGCCGGAACTGTTCGATCAGAGGGGCCATGCACAGCGGACAGGACGAGGAATAATCCATGCAGCGATCGAGGCAGATCTAAAGGGGGCGAAAGGGTAGAAATTGGAAATTAGAAATCTGATTGAAGTTTGTCATGGTTATTGCATTTCGACATAAACACACATTTTGGGCATAATCCCGGGTATTTTGGAAATTATTAGAATAATGAGCCACGCACAATGCATTCGGATATGATCCATTGCGATAAATCTAAAAAAATATTCTTATCACAGACAAACAGACGTAATTCTTCATTCTCATTTACACTGATTTAACAATCAATTCAAAATTCAAACCCCAATTTTATTTTCGAGTGTTTCGTGTGCAATTCAGTTGTAACTAAAACCCCTCTGCTGTAAAATTAATGGGTCCAAACCACGCAAAAATAATTCGAAAATTCTCAGGATTTCTCGGAAATTATCATAATTTCTCAGAAATTATCGGAATTTGTCAGAAATTCTCAGAAATTCTCGGAATTTCTCATAAATTCTCGGAGTTCCTCAGAAGTTTTCAGAATTTCTCAGATATTCTCGGAATTTCTCAGAAATTCAAGGGATATCTCAGAAGATCTCGGAATTACTCAGAAATGCTCGGAATTTCTCAGAAATTCTCGGAATTTCTCAGAAATTTTAGGAATTTCTCAGAAATTCTTGGAATTTCTCCAAAATTTTCGGAATTTTCCCATAATTTTCAGAATTTTTCGAAAGCTTATGTGTTTTCAACTAAATTGATATGTTTGGAGCTTTAATGAAGTTATGAAACTACACAGAAGTTTTTGAAACTACACAGAAGTTTTAGAAACTTCACGGATGTCTTAGAAACTTACCAGAAGTTTTTGAAACTTTTCTGAAGTTCTCGGAGTGTATCTCAAGTTTTTCAAACTTCGCTGATGCTTCAATAAATTTATTGGAACTTCGCTAAGATATTTGAACTTTGAGGAAGGTTTTGAAAGTACATTACATCTATGAAAATTCACAGAAGTTTATGGAACTTTTCTAAACTTCTCTAAATTGCGGTGAAATTATTGAAAATTCGCTGAAGCTTTTGGAAATTTTGCTAAAAGTTTCAAAACTTCGCTGAACTTTTAGAAACTTTACTGATTTTGTTTTGAATTTCACAGAAGTTTTTGGAGTTTTACCCAAGGTCTTCAAACTTTGTCGAAGCTCTTGGGACACCTCCAAAGTTCTCGAAACTTCTTCAAACCTCTTGGAATTGCTCAGAAATTCTCGGAATTTCACAGAAATTCTAAGAGTTTCTCAGATATTTTCTGAATTTCTCAGAAATTCTCGGAATTTTTGTGAAATACTCGGAATCTCACATAAATTCTAGGAATTTCTCAAAAGTTCTTGCAATTTCCCCAAAATTCTCGGAATTTCTCCAAAATTTTCAGAATTTCTCGAAGTGATTTAAACTAAATTGAAATGTTTTGAGCTATGCTGAGGTTTTCAAACTTCACAGAATTTTTTGAAACTTCTCTGAAGTTCTCAGAGCTTATCTCAAGTTTTTCAAACTTCGCTGATATTTCACTAAATTTCTTGGAGCTTCGTTGAGATATCTGAACCCCGGTGAAGATATATGAACTTTGATGAAATTTTTGAAACTACGTTACATTTATGAACTTTTACAGCAGTTTATAGAACTTTTCTAAAATTCTCTAAATTCGCTGAAATTATTGAAAATTCAAGGAATTTCTCAGAAATTCTTGGAATTTCTCAGAAATTCTTGGAATGTCTCAGAAATTCTAAGAGTCTCATAAATTCTCGGAATTTCTCTGAAATACTCGGAGTTTCACATAAATTCTAGGAATTTCTCCAAAGTGCTCGAAATGTTTCCAAAATTCTCAGAATTTCTCGAAAGTTCTCTGAGCTTATCTCAAGCTCTTGGAACTTTGCTGAATTTCTTGCAATTTCGCTGAAGTGATTAAAACTTAATTGAAACTTCTCTGAAGTTCTCAGAACTTATCTCAAGTTTTTCAAACTTCGTTGATGTTTCATTAAATTTCTTGGAGCTTCGTTGAGATATTTGAACCCCAGTGAAGATATATGAACTTTGACGAAGGTTTTGAAACTACGTTACATTTATGAACATTTACAGCAGTTTATGGAACTTTTCTTAAATTCTCTAAAATTTGCTGGAATTATTGAAAAAACGCTGAAGTTTTTGGAAATTTGTTGACGCTCTTTAAGCGTAGCAGATTTTTATGTTGGTTATCACAAATATTTTAATGTCTCCGAAGTTCTCCGAGCTTATCTCAACTTCCTGCAGTGTTTGAAAATTCGTTAAAAGTTTCGAAACTTCTCTGTGAAACTGTGGTGAATATTTTGGAATTTTCCTGAAGTTTTCGGAGCTTATCTCAAGTTTAAATTCTTGGAACTCCTCCAAAGATCTCGAAACTTCTTCAAACTTTGTTGAAATTCTTGGAATTCCTCCGAAGATTCGTCAGAGCTTATCTGAAGACTTAGGAGTGTTTTCAATTTTGCTGAAGTGCTTCGAGTTTTACTGAAAGTCGTAGAACTACTCTGAAATTTTTGAAACATTGCTGAAATTTCTGGAACTTTGTGGAGGATCATGAAATTTCGCTGAATTTTTTTGGACCTTCGATGAAGCTCATCTTGAACATCTCTTAATTTTTGGAAACTCCGAAAGATCCGAGAACATCGGCATAGTTTAAAAAAATCCTGGAAGTCCCAAAAACATCGGCAAAGCTCATAAATTGTAACCAAAGTTCGAATATACACGAGCTTCAGCAAATTTTCGAAAGCTTCAACAAAGTTTCAAGAACTTCGGCGACGTTTCAAAATTTTTAGCAATGTTTAGCTCGTAGAAATTCAGCGAAGGCCAAGAGCATCAGAGAAGTTTGAAGAATTGGACATAATCTGTGACAACTTCTGCAAAGTTTTAACAATTTATACGAAGTTCTAAGCATTTCAGCAAAGTTCGCTGAAAGTTTATGAACTTCTTTGAAATTTTCAAAACTTCACTGAACTTAGTTTACGATCATGAAATTTCCCTGAATTTCTTGGAACTTCCCAAAAGCTATCGAAGCTCATCTTGAGCTTCTCTAAAGTTCTCGAAGCTCATCATAAACTTCTCTAAAGTTCTCGAAACATCTCCAACAAATTCTTAAAAGTTTCGGCAAAGTTTAAACAATGTCCGGGAAGATCTGCAAAGTTCACCAGTAAATCTTCACCAACGTTCAAATATCTTAAACATAGCTCCAAAAAAATTAGTGTAGGATCAAGAGGTTCACTGAAGGTTGCCAAACTAGACATAAGTTCTGAAGACTTCAGCGATGCTTCAAGCATCTAAACGAAATTCCAACCATTTCAACATAGTTCAAAGCACTCAATCGAAGCTTTGAAAAATTCGGCGAAGTTTAAACAACTTGAGATAAGTTCCGAAAACTTGAGATACATTGGAATTACTCCTGGTACTTCGGAATTTCGGAATAATTTCTGGTACTTCGGAAGATTTTCAAGAGCTCTGGAGAAGTGCCAAGAACCTCGGAGCGGTGGCAAGAATTTCGGATTACATTCGGAAATTCAGTGCTGTTCCAAGAGCTTCAGCAAAGTCCCAAAAACTTAGACGAAGTTTGAAAAATTTTTGTGAAAGTTAAAAAATGTCAGCGAATTTCCAAACATTTCAGCAAAGTTTAACTAATTTCAGTGCAGTTCCAAGAATTTGACAGAGACTTCGAGAAAGCTCTGGAGAAGTGCCAAGAACTTTGGAGCGGTGCCAAGAATTTCGGATTATATAGTTCAAGTTCTTGAGATAAAGCAGCGAACTTCAAAATATTTTGAAAATGTCAGCAAAGTTCCAACAACTTCTGCAACGTTTAAAAAAGTTAAGTTCCACTTACTTCGGAATTTCGGAATAATTTCTGGCACTTCGGATAATTTCCAAGAGCTCTGGAGAAGTGCCAAGAACTTCAGATTACATAGTTCAATTTCAAAAACTTTATACGAATTTCAAAAATATCAGCGTTAAAATTACAAAGAGTTAAGCAAAGTTCCATGAACTGAAGATAGGCTTCGAAAAATTTGGAGAAATTCCGAAAGTATTCTAAGATCTTCGGAGAGATTCTAAGAAATTTAAGTACCTAAGACAAGCTCCGAAAACCTGAACTATGAATGGTTCAAGAAATTCAGTGATATTCCAAGTTCATCAAAGTTCATCAATGTTTTAAAAATTTTTAGCAAATTTCCAAAAACTTCAGCAAAGATTAATAAATTTCAGTGAAGTTCCAAGAACTTGAGAGAAACTCCGAAAACTTTTGAGACATTCCGAGACCATCGGAGCAATTCCGAGAACTTCTTAGCAATTAAAGCACTTAAGATATGGTCTGAGAACATGAGCGAAGGTCGACGAATTGATATGTTGATGCCACCGAGGAGTAGAGCTTCAGAGGCTGTTGAAAATCGGAGAAGAGAAGAACTTTTTTTTAAAGTTATATAATCATCACTGAACACTATTTCGATATTCGCAGAAGTTTTTGGAGCTTTGTTGGAATAGTTGAAATATTTCTGAAGTTTCTGAAACTTTGCTATCATTTTTAAAGTTCGCGTAAGCTTTTTGTTTTTAAGTTTGAAGTTAAGAAATTCAGCAAAGATTCAAGAAATTCAGTGAAGTGCCGAGAGTTTTAGCAAAGTTCCATAAATTTAGGAAAAGCTCCAAACATTTAAACGAGCTATTCCTAATCTTTTCGAACTTTGCTGAAGCTCTTGGAACTCGCTGAATTGTTTGAACATTTGCTGAATATCTTAACTTCTAATTTAAAAACTTTAGCGAACTTTAAAAAGTGTTAGCGAAGATCCACAAACTTCAGAATTGTTTCAATAATTTCAGCAAAGCTCCAGAAACTCCAGTGAAGATTATATAACTTCAACAAAAAGCCCCACTCTTGTCCGATTTGCAACAGCGTCTGAAGCTCTACTCGTCGGTAGCATCGACATATTAATTCTTCGGTACCATCGGAACGAAATCCGTACTCTAATTGTCAGATTGTTGTCGTGCAGGTGTCAATCCTCACTTTCTGGTTGCATCCGGCTTGTGGATACAATATTCTAGAAACACTGGAATAAGAGACCAGCGGAGACACTGTTATGATTCCAATCGATCTGTCAAAAGCGGTTCCAATCTGCAATATGTACAAATGGTTTGCTTCAATTAGGGAAGAAGTATTGAAATCTTTTAACAATCACTCATGAACTCGCTCGTCGGTGCATTGGCAAAGTCACTCGCAAGCAGTTACAAATGCAAGTGATGCCAGATGGTTATCTTGTTGCCAAATTCATGATTTTTTCTCCGCTCTTATTCCAGTGTTTCTACAATATTCAAACCACTCCAATGTTTTGCAATACGCATCAAGCGCATATGGAAGCATCTTCGAAGCTTATCACTTGTATAAACATGTTCAAAGTGATCGTTCAATAACCGTAGAGCTGTTTATTTTTGGTTGTTTTCCAGGACGAGATCCTCCACATTTTACTCCTGATTCTGCTGATTTGATGGACAATTCTAGCGTGTTAATCAAATGGAAGTGTTCCAGAATTGTGCGCGCTGAATCTGACTCAAGGTTGAGTAAATGTCATTCATGAACTGAGTAAATGTCATTCGAATATGGGTGACATTCAATGGCCATGATTTTTTGATCTTGCATGCAACACTGTTTGCGACTTAGCAAGCATGCTTATTTTCCGCGATGATGCCGTTAGTGTGTTCCATGGCAATCATTTGAAGGACATGTTGTTTAAAGAGTAACTTCTGTTTGTCTGTGTTCACATTGCTTATTGCATGGTGAATATCGAAAATGCGTAACATTTATGCAACCTTCGGATCCTAACCGAACATCACTTACCCAGCAGTAGGTATGCCCGCAGGGCGTCACAACCGGCCGCCACAGGGTCCGGCAGCACAGCACACAGTCGAAGTCGGACGTCTCGATCTGGCTCGGATGGGCACTCAACCGGACGGGGCTTCCCTCGGCCCACCGGACCGCTTCCAACTCTTTGATCATTCGGTCAACGAACGATCGCAGCTTCGAGTTGGGCCTTGGAATGATTGTTGGTTGCTGATGATTCTGCTGGACTTGCTGTTGCTGCTGCTGCAGGTGCCTTAGATACATTTGCTCCTTGCCGGATCCCAGCGGAACGTCCATGCGCGGGTTAAAAATGTTCAGATTGTACGCCGAGAGGGATTTCCGCCGGTGGTGCGGTGGATTCATGGTCTGCTGATAGAAGTCGTCGTCCATTTCGTCGAAAAAGCTGGACCGAAAGTAGTCCTCGTCGCCGCAGTCGGAGTGGTCCTCATCGAAGTCGCTGGTTCGCAGGCTGAGGAACTGTTTTTTCGCTTTGTGCTTGTGCACCGACAGGATCCGATGGTGGCGCCGCTTGCGGGAACTCATCAGAGAGTACGGAGTGCTGAAGATTAGCGAGAGTGGATCAACCATGCTGGCCGGGAGTTCCGGCTCCGATCGGACCGTGGCGAGTAGTTTTTGAAGATCCTACGGAAAAGAAAATGGGTTTAGTCTTGGTTTGCGCGATCGATTGAGCGATCGAGGGCGGTACCTTTGCGAGATCCTCTTTTATCCCGTTGGCCACACACATCGACTGTTTATCCAGGAAAATCGAAATGCAGTGGGAGATTATGGCTTGCTCGGATTTCCCCTGAGCTGACAGCGATAGGGCCCGGTAGTAGTGTGCCTGCAAGGAAGGAAAGAGAAAAGAAGATCTTGTTATTCATGCCATTCACATCAGACACAGAATGCTGCGGAGCTTGCCAAGATGAATATCTCTACACATGTTCAGCTTATGTTTAATTTAATCAAATATTTTATTTATTCGCGAACGGAAAGTTATTCTTTGTGTATTTGATCAAAACGCGGAGCGTGTCGCAAGGAACACGAAAAACAGATCCGACATGTGCATGCATATGACACTCACTCATGCCATGCTGACGGGAACGCAAAGAGACGTGAGAAAAGGCTCCCCATCAAACGTGACCCGATGGAAACGTGGTTTTGGTCCTCCGAATACGAAACGCGAATTCCGGGCGGGAGGTGTGATGTAACACAATCGAATGACTGACGATGATTTGAAAAGCCTCCGTGGCTTACCGACCCCTCCTCCCAAGTTCGCCAAACAACGGAGCTTGAAATCGTTTTGCAATAGTCCGTTGGTAGGAAGGTACAAGTACAATTGACTCGATGAGGTAACTGCTAAGCTGCCAATAATGGGGGATGGAGGTGTGAGGGGAAAGTTCTTACGCGACACCATGTCCTCTACGGGGATTTTCCCGTTGATGCTTTGCCCTTCAGGATAGGAAAGCAAACCCATCAGCACACCCCTGGCAACGAATCAAAGTCCGGCACGGTCGACGCTGGCACACGTAGGTATGCTTCCGGTGGAATTGAGTTACGGTGAGAATTTGAGACTGCAATGGCGTTAAGATTGATTGGTGGTTTGATTGGTTAACTGCGGATGGATTGAAGTGTACACGCTAGGAAAGATTGATTAACGTGGTGCTGTATCCTAGAATATTGTGGGTTGCCATAATATGGTCATATTGCTTATTATGCAATGGCCGCTTGAAGTTGCTTTGCCTATCACAGCGCAAAGGCAGTCCACTTCCATGCGCCTTTTCAAATGCCGTGCAAATTTTAAGTAATTTGCTGCTGAGAGGGGCTGACAGAATCGGGAATGCATTCTACTCATAAATGAGAAAATTACTAATGTGCCTTGCTCATGAAAGCTTGAAAAATTCTACTTTAATCATGTGCCGACAAAGTGTGCATAATATTTCATTTACACAGCTGGATAGATCGGACAAACGGTGAGGTTTTTTGGACTAGGAGTCAGAGGGCAACCCCAATCGTAAGCTGACCTTCTCAAGGCGAAAAGGAAGAACACATTGTGATCCCTAGGAAATGTAACAGATCATTTCGATTATAAATTATTGAACCATGATCAAAATTATTTTAATATCTAAAATCTATGTAACAGATTAGAATGATGCACCTCATGATTACTAAAACAACACCTGTAACCACTAGGCTGCAAGACCATTTTAATTGAGCAACTTAAAAACTATGTAAATCCATTGATTTTAAAATTTTATTAGCTGTTTGGCATTTTATCATTTTAGAACAGCACTTTATTTAAGACGGAGGACGGCATGAAGATGGCACATTAGGACAACCAGCAGGAACGAGCCAGGCACGTTTCAACTCCGCCCCAGCTCTAAAAGCGTGCTGTCTTTTGTCCAATCATCCTTTTGACTCCAACTCACCACGCGCTCGAGCACCTTCGCGATACAGTTGGTCAGAGTAATAGGTCGGAAAGCTGCAGGACCAGACTCAGATGAATTCGGCCTCGGAATCGGCACGACTACTCCGGTTCGCCAGCTGATAGGGTACACGCCACTACACCAAACTCTGTTTAGAAGCTCCAGTAAGGCCGACAACATAGTAGAAGCGATTCGAAGCGATTCGATGCGATAGCAATTGGCAAAGTGAAATGAAGCGGCAAGCAAAGCAACCTACGACATAGTGAAAGCGTTTTTGAAAACATTACAAGCTGAAAATTGCATTAGGTCCTAAGTAACATTGACAGATTCTCTTCGTCGACTTTCTCTTTGCATCCCCACGGCCATGTAGAATGTAGATACATTCCCAGGTATTTTCAGCACACAGATCGATAAAAGAAGCTTTTATCTAGCATCTAATATGACAAACACATCAAGAAACGGTTCTGTGTTCAAGTTATTAACGAAAGAGAAAGTCGACGAAGAGAATCGATCAATGTTACTTAGGACCTAATGCAATGTTCAGCTTGATTACAGTCGCGCGCAGTGCAAAATATTTATTCAAATTTGTTTCAATTCAGCATAGATTCATCCGATGAGGAATATTTCGCTTCCTCAAGCACGATTAATTTCGTAATGAACAACGAAAGAGAGTTTGTAGTTCAACCGATCAATCGAAATAAAAGGCGAGATGAGGATTTCTTCAGATTGTACGAAGATCTTCGTAAATATCCAGAAAAGTTTTGGTCTTACACAAGAATGGATATGGACACGTTCGATCTGATTTTGAATCTAGTGACAAACAAGATTATCAGTCCACTTGCGTTTGCAGGCGTCAAAGCACAACACGAAAAGCTCTGTCGCTTTGCTGAACGCTACACACCTCTTCGCATCGCTTTCACTATGATAGGTTTGGGCGATTCCCATAGAACGCTCATAGAGGGAGCGCTTATTGCCAACGCATCGAATCGCTTCAACTACTATGTTGTTGGCCTAACGCGATCAGGCAGCCGTCGGAGCATCGGATACCCTACCGAGTTAGGACCTGTAGAGACACTACGTCCTTTGTCGAGTGCCCACAGAAGCTCATCCAGGGTGCAGTCAGAACTATAGATGTCGTTGGTGTCTGAAAGAGAGTACACGCGATCAGTGGCGTAACCCTTACCTCAATCTACCTGTTCAACAACACTCAAAACGTAAACAAACAAAACAATATTGGTTCCAATGGATACAAATCAGTGAAACTAGAAGACCCTATGCCTGAAACTGATTTGAATGTAAACATGACCCTAAATAACGATTTCAAAGTTGTTGAACAGGTAAAAAGCGAGGTTACGCGACGCCACTGCACGCGATCCCGTTCCGCTCTTTCCTTCGCTGCTTGCAACAGTTAGGGGTAAGCTAGAGGTCGCCGATCTCTCGCAGTAGTGCTTCGCCAGTTCTTCTGCTACTTCTTCTGCCATGTCCGTGTAACCGTCTGGTCGTTTGATAACCGCCTTGTTGTGCTGCCGCTTACCTCTCAGTCGTTCTTTAGCTTCCTGCACTGCCTTCTTAGCGTCTGCCTTCGCTTCCTGGAACTGGGACGTGAAACGACGGATGAAAGCTGGAGATCCCCTAGATACAGTGCGTCCCATCGTTCAGGATACCCGACGGTTCTAGGTGTGAAGACAGAGTAGAAGTAGGAATATTCAGCGGCAGCGTGCAGAGAGCAATAGTCCTTCCGTCACAATGTATTTTTTTTTCTACGGAGGCTTATGCGATCGATCATTCTGTCCAATTCAGCAATGTCTTTCAGCAATAGAGAGTGGCAAATCGCAGCATTCCTTGATCCAAGAAATTGAATCCGGGCATCCGGATAGGCTCGGTATAAACGGCAGTCTTGATCAGAGATGTTATGTCTCAGAACATCCCGGCGGCGCCGACTGGTATTGAACCCATGCCTGCTGGCGTGAGAGGTAATCACGCTTACCACTACACCACCGGCGCCGTTACCGATCTCCTTCAATTCCTGCCACTTCGGGTATTCCACAAGGTAGCCACCTCGGCCCGTTGATATTTCTTGTGTATTTCAACGACGTCAATTTCGTCCTCGATGGTCCACGACTGCCGTTCGCAGACGACATGAAAATCTATCTCCGAATCCGAGCCATCGCTGACTGCAACTTTCTCAAACTCCAACTCAACGCTTTTGCTAATTGGTGCCAACACGACCGCATGGTTGTAAATCCAACAAAATGTTCAGTAATCACGTTCTCACGGAAGAAACATCCAATTACATTCAGTTATATCCTAGAAGGCGTTGACGTACATCGTGTGAATCACATTGAAGATCTGGGAGTCATCTTAGATTGTCAACTCACATACAGCCAGCATATCTCGTACGTGATCGACAAGGCATCCAGAACGCTCGGCTTCATTTTCAGGATAGCTAAAAGTTTCACGGACATCTACTGTTTGCAGTCGCTTTACTGCTCCCTCATCCGGTCGTTGTTAGAATACTGCTGCCCTGTATGGAATCCCAATTACCAAAACAGTGTACAAAGAGTAGAGTCTATTCAACGACGATTCATCTGGTTTGCCCTTTGACGATTGCCTTGGAGCAGGGCTGGAAAGCACCTCAGAGCGTTAGCAAAGCAACTTTGTGCATGCATCTCACAACACTCGACAAAGAGTGTGTGGTTCTCCCATTTACTTCGCACACTCTATTCCAACTGTGAGAAAGCGATAGACACAATGAGTGGTACACTCCGTGCGGCGCAGGGAGCGAATATAATACAACAAGCGCTAATGTCTTCTTTGATGTTTTTCAGACTTTGCTTACCACGACTGCATGCATTGGAGATGAAGAAGGGCATAACAAAGAAGAATTTTGTCTATTTGCTGTGTTTCCCGTTTGCAACCCTACACTGAGTGGCGCTCTTTGCGTCGGAGTCGTCGGAGCGATGGCTACACATTGAGCTTTCTTTATTTCTGGGTGTGTGTCTGTCTTCTCTTCTCCGCTGCTTTAAACTTGCGCAGGGTGAAAAACAAGTCAACTTTGTGTTTGCTTGATTCTCACTTTGTATATTTCAGATATGATCAGATGAAAGCCCTGCCTTGGAGGGATCCTCATCGCCTGCCAAGCTACACAAGTCGGTGCCAGTTAATTCACCTGGATCCTTTGTGGAGTCGAAGAGATTCGACAAGGGCCCTGTTTGTGGCAGACATTCTCCAGGGCAGAATCAATTGTCCTTCTATTCTACAACAAATCGACGCTTACGTTCAACCACAAGCACTTCGTAACAACGCAGTGCTGAGGATACCTTTTCGTCGTACAAACTATAGTTCGTATGTTGCTATCAATGGGCTACAAAGGGTTTCCAATCGTGTTGCTTCCTTATTTGATTTTTACTTGGCACGC